GTATGTTGCTCCTGAAAAGCTAAATGAACTATGTATTATGTATATGTGTGTTTACTGTGTTGTAATTTCCTACTTGTATTTCGCTTACTGGAGTAGCTGCGTGATCCTACTAGTACACTGTGGTTGTGTATTGATACTGCACTTGCTCGTTCTTTGTTGAGTATAGGGCATCTTCAGGCGGCTACTGACATACCTCAGTTAGGAGATCACTGATCGAGACCGGATTCAAGGGTGAACTAGTTCCTCCAGGCTGTCATGGGTCCTCTATTGTTTAGTACATTCTTTTCGGGCTCAAGACTCTATAGTTAGATTTATTCGTATGTTTAGTTCCGGGGTTGCACCCCCTTTCCTTAGACTTGTTGATTGGTAGAGTTTTGGTACAATGACTTTCAGGTTCTAGGGGTTGACTTCCGCAATAGTTTGTTTAATTGTTTGTTTAAAACCTTTGGAGTTTATGGGAACTCCGTTTCTATCCATCATTTAAACCTGCTTCCGTATCTTTAAATGTTTAGTTTTTCGTTAAGTTGCTTAGTTGGGTTGTAGTAATGGTTCTCCCACCTGAGGGTTAGTGTGGGTGTCAATCACGGCGGGCTGGGTCGTGACATTTTTTTATATACTTACCCACTCAAATAAATTTATAAAAGTAGATTTAGAATCTTAAATATGGCTAATCAAATGGTCATGTGCAAGACACAAAAAAAAAAATCATCCGTAAAATAAAGTTCCATTTTGTAAGTCTTGTAAAAAGTTCACATTTTAGAGAAGTATGATAGAAAATGTATAAATCCTTAAACTAGGTACCAAAATCACACATTTAAGAAAATAACTAATTAATAGCTTATTTGATCAAGTTTTAAAGAGGCAAAAGTGTTTTTATTTTATTCAAAATGAGGTGTTTTATTAAGTTTTTGGAAGAATTTTTTAAAAGAAATTGATTTTAAAAATTTGATCAAGCAGACTAAAAAATAAAATAAAAATACTAATCTAACATTGTTGGCTATTCTAATCAAAATTTACTTAATTAATCTAATTCACTCCAAAATAAAATTCAATTCAATTTAATTTAGCCATGCACAATATCATGATGTGATTGAAATCTACTTCGTCAGAAAATTCACTTGATCATGATAATTGATAGGGTTTATAAATTTTAATAAAACATTTTATTCATCTAATTCCTTCCATCAGTCTTCACTTAGTTTAATTTCAAATGTGGGCTCTTATTTGTCTGTTTTTGTGTATTTTTATACATAATTGATAAAACATAAAGGAATTAGTAGGAAAAATTATTTGGGTGGGTACTTTTTAATAAATAATTATTGGTTTTAATAATATTTTTTATTTATTATTATTTATATCAATACATAGCAATATTATGATAAATCTACACTATATATTAAAAGACAATTATGCATGCAATATAGATGTATTATAAGTGTTTTAGAATATATTATACTTGTTTGGTAAGAAATTGACACATGTATTACATAAGTGTATTAAAATGTGTGATAAATGTATTATCCATCAATAAAATGTGTAATATATGTTTTTTTATAAATTGTTCTTTGTAATATGTATTAAAATTGTATTATAAATGTATTATAAGTGTCCAAGTGAAAAAATGTTATTGCTATAAATGATAAATATAGCATATTTATGTAAGTTTTCCGAATTTATTATATATATATATATATATATATGATAATAATTCACGCAGTTTAGGGAATACTTATCTCATTTTATAAAGAAGGAAGGTGTTTCTTTGGTGGAGTTTTGGACTCTTTTGAATTATTTGAGTTGCACGACGTTGTGTGTTGTTGTATCTTAGAGGGACAAATCAAGAATTATACTGCTAAACCAATTATATATCACGGTGAGCTTGAATTTCCTTAAAAAAAAAAGATATTTGCGTCTTATCCTGAATATTTACTTATTCATTTTATTTTCAGCTATATCTTTATTGTTAATCTTGATATTAATAGATAATGTATATAAATAGACAACAACAATAATAAATTCAGTGAAATCCCGCAAAGTGGGTTCTGAGAAGGATAGAGTGTACCCAAACCTTATCACAACCTCTCCGAAGTAGAGAAACTGTTTTCGAAAGACCTTCGACTCAAGCAAATTAAAGTAATAATTTAAGAAAAATGATAGTTGATAGAAAAGTAATACGAGACATATATGCAAGGAACTGTAATAAACTAAAGACTACATGAATATGCTAATACTATGACTGACACAAAGCTTTAAAGTCTTATCCAACCGAAGACATGAAAATGCTATAAATAAGACAACTCTCAACTACATACTAACTTCTACCCTTATTCGCAACCTTCATACCATCCTAGCTAAGGTCACGTCCTTGGTAAGCTGAAAATGCACCATATGCTGCCTAATAACCTCACCCGAGTACTTCTTCAATCTACCTCTCTTCAACCCCACTATATCCAACCTCTTACACCTCTTTACTGGGGTTCCACACATTTCCTTTTTCACATGTCCATATCATTTCTGCCTCCCTTCCCTCATCTTGGTGGTTTGTTCCGGATATTCTTATTTCTAATCTTATTGTTGCTAGTATGCGCGCACATCCATATCAACATTCTCATTCCCTCCACATGCATCTTCTGAACTTGGGAGAAGTTTTTGACTGACCAACACTCTGCTCCATACAACAAAGTTGATCTAACCACCACGCTATAAAAGTTACCTTTAAGCTTTGGTGGTACCTTCTTGTCACTCAAGACATCAGATGCAAGCATCCACTTCATCCATGTCGCACCCATACGATATGTGACATTATTGTCGATCTCTCAGTTCCTTGGATCAGAGATCCCAATTACTTAAATATTTCTCTCTTGGGGATAACTTGTGTTTCAAGTATCACTTTCACGCTTGCCTCATGTGTTTCATCACTGAATTTACACTACAAATACTCTGTCTTGGTCCTGCTCAACCTAAACCCTTTAGACTCTAGAGTTTGTCTCCACACCTCTAATCTATCATTAACTCTTCTGCGAGTCTGCTCGATCAAAATAATGTCATATGCAACTAACATAAATCAAGGAACCTCACCTTGAATATGTCTTATTAATTTATCCATCACCACGGTAAATGGAAACAAGCTCAATTCTAACCTCTGGTGCGATCCCATCTAGACTGAAAAGTGCTTAGGGTCTCCTTCCACTAGTCTTATTTGAGTCTTGGCTTCATTATATATGTCCTTTATCTCCATATTGCAACTCACCAGTACACCTTTAGACTACAAGCATCGCCAAAGGACTTGTCGAGACTTTGTTGTAGGCCCTTTTCAAGATAAGTGAACACTATATGCAAATTTCTTTTTATTTTTCTATATATATTTCTGCATCTTGCTCCTTACGAATGACTTCACTAGTTGAACGCCCTGACACGAATCTAAACTGATTCTCGAAAATGGATACATTCTTCCTCACTCTTATCTGCACCACACTTTCCTAAACTTTCAAGATGTGACTCAACAACTTAATACCCTTGTCATTGTTGTAGTTTTGGATATCATCATTGTTCTTGTATAACAAAAACATTCTACTCTACCTTCATTCACCAAACGTTTAGCCGTCTCAAAAATGAAATTAGTTATCTAGTTAGCCACTCCAAACCCCCCTTGTTTGTGCTCTTTCAAAGCTCTATCAAAATTTTATCTGGTTCGTTCACTATACCCCGACTCATCTTACGCATAACACCTTTAACCCTTTCAAACTTAAAACACTAACAAATAACTAAAATCCCGCTAACTCTCCAAGCATGATTATCTCCCCCCCCC